ACTTGGCAGTTCCAACAAAATAGACCCACAGAACAGCCAAACACAACTGACTACCAACAGACTTGGCAGTTCAAACAAAATAGACCTATAGAACTGACAAACACAACTGACCACCAACAGACTTGGCAGTTTCAACAAAATAGACCCACAGAACTGACAAACACAACTGACCACCAACATACTTGGCAGTTCCTACAAAATAGACCCACAGTACTGACAAACACAACTGACTACCAACATACTTGGCAGTTTCAACAAAATAGACCCACAGTACTGACAAACACAACTGACCACCAACAGACTTGACAGTTTCAACAAAAAAGACCCACAGAACTGACAAACACAACTGACCACCAACAGACTTGGTAGTTCCAACAACATAGACCCACAGAACTGACAAACACAACTGACCACCAACAGACTTGGCAGTTCCAACAAAATAGACCCACAGAATTGACAAACACAACTGACCACCAACTGACTTGGCAATTCCAAGAAAATAGACCCACAGAACTGACAAACACAACTGACCACCAACAGACTTGGCAGTTCCAACAAAATAGACCCACAATACTGACAAACACAACTGACCACCAACAGACTTGGCAGTTCCAACAAAAAAGACCCACAGAACTGACAAACACAACTGACCACCAACAGACTTGGCAGTTCCAACAAAATAGACACACAGAACTGACAAACACAACTGACCACCAACTGACTTGGTAGTTCCAACAAAATAGACCCACAGTAGTGACAAACACTAGTGACCACCAACAGACTTGGTAGTTGCAACAAAATAGACCCACAGAACTGACAAACACAACTGACCACCAACAGACTTGGCAGTTCAAACAAAATAGACCCACAGAACTGACAAACACAACTGACTACCAACAGACTTGCCAGTTCAAACAAAATAGACCCACAGAACTGACAAACACAACTAACCACCAAAAGACTTGCCAGTTCCAACAAAATAGACCCACAGAACTGACAAACACTAGTGACCACCAACAGACTTGGCAGTTCCAACAAAATAGACCCACAGAACTGACAAACACAACTGACTACCAACAGACTTGGCAGTTCCAACAAAATAGACCCACAGAACTGACAAACACAACTGACCACCAACAGACTTGGCAGTTCCAACAAAATAGACCCACAGAACTGACAAACACAACTGACTACCAACAGATTTGGCAGTTCCAACAAAATAGACCCACAGAACTGACAAACACTAGTGACCACCAACAGACTTGGTAGTTTTAACAATATACTCCAACTGGACTGACAGACAGACCATCTCGGCAAGGCAGGGTCGATGAATTCCCTGAGGGATCTAATCCCCGCCTACCCATAATACTTCACTCTTTACCGTATCCCTTTTATCATATTTCCTTTACCATCCACTAAAATAGAGAAAATAGCATTAGTGGTTTTACAATATACATTCAATGGACTGACTATCATGATATGAGTGGTAGACAAGATTGATTTAGTAAAAGACTGGGAATCTTGCTACCATTAATTTGACAGAGAGCATCTCGACAGAGCAGGGTCCATGGTCTTCAATTGCTATCAATAATTTGACAGAGAGCATTTCGACAGAGCAGGGTCCATGGTCATCAATTGCTATTATTAACTTGACAGAGACATCTCGACAGAGCAGGGTCCATGGTCTTCAATTAATATCATTAATTTCACAGAGAGCATTTCGACAGAGCAGGGTCCATGGTCATCAATTGTTATCATTAACTTGACAGAGACATCTCGACAGAGCAGGGTCCATGGTCTTCAATTGCTATTATTAATTTCATTGAGTGCATCTCAACAGGGCAGGGACGATGACCTCCCAGTGGGATTTCTCCTTGCCTACCCCCAGGTTAACTTCTATAAAATCACTCCAGGTTTAAGGTAACATCTATAAAATCATCCCAGGTTTAGCTAACCTTTTTAAAACACTCAAGGTTTAAACTAACCTTTATAAAAATCATCCCAGGTTTAACTCTATTCCTGGTTCTAGTCCAGTGACATGGACATTACTATAGTAACCGACTGAAACTCGTTCGGTTGTTTCATTCAAATACATGCCGTAAATCGGCCCAATTTAACGTACCATGCGAGACTGACAGACTTGGGCTTAACAACCGGCAGAGAAATAACATAGGCCCGGACGGCCTGATTTCATCTCGGCAGGTCAGGGACGATAACCTCCCTGTGGGTTTTCTCCTTGCCTACCCTCAGGTTTACTTCTATAAAATCACTCCAGGTTTAATCTAACCTTTGTAAAAATCACTCAAGGTTTAATCTAACCTTTTTAAAACACTCAAGGTTTAAACTAACCTTTGTTAAAATCATCCCAGGTTTAACTCTATTCCTGGTGCTAGTCCAGTGACATGGACATTACCATAGTAACCGACTGAAACTCGTTCGGTTCTGTTTTATTGAAATACATACCGTAAAACGGCCGAATTTTGACGTACCATCCGAGACTGACAGACTTGGGCTAAACGACCGGCAGAGTAATAACATAGGCCCGGACGGCCTGATTTCATCTCGGCAGGGCAGGGACGATAACCTCCCTGTGGGATTTCTCCTTGCCTACCCTCAGGTTCCTATCCACGTAATAATACTTCAATTTTATTACCAGCTGCTTTTCAAATCATACCCTAGGTGGACTAAGCGGGCTGTCGGAACATAAAATGTCCAGCCCTAACCACCGGAACAATCGAAAAAACTTTTAAAATCATTCCATGTTTCCAAAAAATCCGGCCCAACTTAAGGTACATTCCAGACTGACAGACTTGGGCTAAACGACCGGCAGTGAAAAAACATAGGCCCGGACGGCCTGATTTCATCTCGGCAGGGCAGGGACGATAACCTCCCTGTGGGATTTCTCCTTGCCTACCCTCAAGGTCCTATCTACATAATAATACTTCAATTTCATTACCAGCTGCTTTTCAAATCATACCCTAGGTGGACTAAGCGGGCTGTCGGAACATAAAATGTCCAGCCCTAACCACCGGAACAATCGAAAAAACATTTTTTAAATCATTCTAGGTTTCTAAAAAAAATCGGGTCCAACTTCAGGTACATTCAAGACTGACAGACTTTGGCTAAACGATCGGCAGTGAAAAAACATAGGCCCGGACGGCCTGATTTCATCTCGGCAGGGCAGGGACGATAACCTCCCTGTGGGATTTCTCCTTGCCTACCCTTAAGTTCCTTTCTATAAAATCTTTTTTTCTTAAACTTTCTGCCAAAGAAAATTTTCATCATTTCTCTATTCAAAAAAGAATTTTAATACCATGAGTTTCTAAATTTGTATCACATTTTTTTAAAATGAGACCAGGTTTAATCTAACCTTGCGGTTTTTAGAATAGAACCTAATAGTGGGTTCTTGTACCAGCTATCTTTAAAATTACACCAGGTTTAATATAACCATTATGGTTTAGAATAGAACCTCATAGTAGGTTCTTGTACCAGCTATCTATAAAATCAAACCAGGTTGAATCTAACCATTATGGTTTAGAATAGAACCTTATAGTGGGTTCTTGTACCAGCTATCTTTAAAATTACACCAGGTTTAATATAACCATTATGGTTTAGAATAGAACCTCATAGTAGGTTCTTGTACCAGCTATCTTTAAAATTACACCAGGTTGAATCTAACCATTATCGGTTTTCAAAATTACCCTTAACAGTTTCAAGACAGATTTCAATTCCTTTTCTACCTACATTTGTGTGTAAATATAGGCTTTGTAAATGACTATACAGCTTGCTTATTTTCAAAAAAAAATCACCAGCAGTGCAATAACATAGACCCAGATGGATGGACGGACTTCATCTCGGCAGGGCAGGGACGATGACCTCCCTGTGGGATTTCTCCTTGCCTACCCTCAAGTTCCTTTCTATAAAATCATACTATTTGTGTCAAACTTAGTGCTTAATATATTTTCACCATAAATCTCTTTTCAATACAAACATTTTTAAAAATCATATCAGATTCTTAAAAATTACTTAACCTTTGTAAAATCATTCAGGTTTAATCTAACCTTTTTAAAATCATCCCAGGTTTAACTCTATTCCTGGTTCTAGTCCAGTGACAGGGACATTACCATAGTAACCGACTGAAACTCGTTCGGTTCTGTTTTATTGAAATACATGCCGTAAATCGGCCCAAGTTAACGTACCATCCGAGACAGACAGACTTGGTCTAAACGACCGACAGTGCAATAACATACGCCCAGACGGACGGATTCCAGAACAGACGGGACATGGGACCTGCTGCATGGAGGAAGAAAAACAACAGGAACCCTGAGGATCACTCTTTTTGGCTTTACACCCAGTTTCGATCGAGGGAGGGCCGACTTCAGCAAATCACAAAATAGCCAAAAGGAAAAAGGGGTGCACGCGAGGCCCTGCCTAACAGTGTTAGGTTATTTCGGGATTTGAAAGAGCCAAGCCGAAAACAATCGAAACTGAGAAAGCAGAGTCTGATACTCAAAGCCCCTGATTACCAGACAACTTAGACTTCGTTGATTTCCTCTTCATCTGTGTATCTCGTCCTACACATGGTCAAAAAAATCCAAAAATAAACCCCGTGGCATCACAAGTTCTACTCACGTGTCCACATTACATGATATAATACACAATACCTATCCTAACACCTAATACCTAACACCTAACTTGTCTTAACTAATCAATGTACAACTATGATGCCAAGAGGTCCTATCGTCATTTTTAGACCAAGGGGTACAAGAGTGGTCGTCGTCTAAAACCCTCCGATATATTACCAACTGTTGACAATTTGCCAACAAACATACAGCCCACAGAAGCATATAGAGGCAGGATGGGTCTGCAGAATATCCAACTGGATATCTGCAGATTATATCCTTGCCTGTGCAAACCTACTAATTTGAAAGTTATAAAAATCTTTGAAAAATATCTGTAATTTTAGGACTTTATTAAGGATTTGAATTTGGAAAATTTCAAATAAGCTAATGCATTATTTTGGATAATTAATATCACCAATGAGTCATCCTAAATAAAGTAAGAGATCGATTTCACGTGAATTACGAAACGCCTTGATCGAAGGGACCGTATAGTTTTGTGAAAAACATGAAACAGGTTGCAAAATGAAGTAGACTGATCTACTAAATTGTGCTCTTAATAAATTTTCAAAAATCTGGTATTCACATCCACATAATCACTTTGTCAAAAGAGGAAATATAAAAATATTCAGGATTCAAAATTCAAGATTGGTTTGACGGATGGCGGATGTCCTTGGAAGCATTTGGGAAAGGGGGCAGCCTAGCATGCTTCCTTTAATGGACAATAAAGAAAAAAATAACCACATGATACCAATTTCAGTCGCCAAAGTGAGACTTCAAAATGGCGACAAATTTGGCATATTTTGGAAAATACTTACACCAATCCCTGACAATTTCAAAAAAATACATCACGTGAGAAGCGAACAACTTTATCGAACTTGTTCTACGACTGCAGTAAGCACAATCGTAAAACAAATATCGATATGTGGTTTAATGTAGTATGTTCATGTAATGCATGTGTAAAGGGATACTTTCACAAAACATCCAGCACAGATGGAGCCAGCTACACAGAATCCAGTAGTCAATTGCTGTCTTACTACGATGTATCCCTTTAAGTTGTATTGTGAGGGAGTGGGGAGGGGCCTGCTGAATGTAGTGATGCACGAGAAAAAAAGAAGGTTAGTGCCCTATTGTTTAACTCACAACTCTATGACTTAATGTAAAGTTTTATTTGGTTTGGTTTGGTTTGGTTTTCTGTATGTGTTCTTGTTGTTGTTTACCAATATAAGTTTGTTGTACCTAAAAAAATAAACAAAAATATTAAGCATATTGTTTAAGAGGTATTATTTTTCAAAATCATGACTAAGAGTTCTGATTGATCAGGGTAGATAGTTTGTTATTGAGAGAGAGGGGGTATATGAATTCCAAGCATTCCTTTGAAGTCTTAAGTAGAATGACAGGCACCACAGACATCTGACTGAAAAGTTGGATGGTGCTATGTGATGCTATCAGTGTCCCCTAAACACATGACCTTGGATCTCTACAACCAATATTATCAAAGATTATTAAGAACAGGAAAAACTGCCCGACTCTCAAAGCCTTTGATTCCTGTCATACAAGGAATCATTTAACAAAGGCTTAATACAAAAGCACTTTGGACATTTCACTGAATTGT